CTGGAGGACATAAGTTGCAAGCCTTGGTGGTGTCCATGTCCATATAATATTAATTCTACATGCCCCCAGAGTGCAAGAGCTATGGAGGTGTGGCTTCCTCCACTGACATTTCAAAGGATATTTGAAAAAGCCTGTGGACCCAGGAAGAGACTTCTCACAGGGACACAGCCATTGCAGACAGCCTCTACTAGAACAATGCTAAGCAGAAATGTGGTGTCAGAGATGCCTCAGAGAGTCCCCACCAAGCAATGCCTAGTGGAAATGCAGAGGCAGAGCCACCTCAGAATTATAGAGTCACCAGCAGCATGCAGCCTCAGCCTGGAAAAGCTGCAGGCATTCAACTGCAACCCATGAGAGCAGTCACATGGGCTGCATCCAGAAAAGCCAGGGGGCCAGATCCCCCATGAATATATTAATGCCCCCCCTTGAGGGTGAGTGAGTTCTCACTCTTTGGGGAATGGGTTAGTTCCCAGGAAAGTAGGTTAAGGAGTCTGGCTTCCTTGGTTTTGTCCTCTTGCTTCCTGTCTTAACATATGATCTCTTTGCACAGACCCACTCCTCTCCTGTATTCTGCCATAAGTAGAAGCAGCATGAGGCCCTCACCAGATCTAGCTACCCAATCTTGAACTTTCCAGCCATCAGAATCATGAGCCAAATAAACTTCTTTTCTTTATAAATTACCCAGCCTCTGGTATTCTGTTATAGCCTCATTAAACAGACTAAAACAAACTATGTAATATTACTGTGAATACTTTTTATTGCAAGAAACAGAAAGCCCCAACTTAAACCATAAGGAATTTATTCATAATGTCATCAAATATGAGAAACCTATTGTAACATGCCATTATTTTATGAACCACTAAGAAAGGAAAATAAAACACTGTCAATTAAGCTGACACAATGCTTTCTAATGTCTTAAAATATTATTTTATACCTATTAAAAGAGAATTGTAAAATATATTTAGATGTATATTTTATGTATCACATTTATAATATATAACAGAAATATATGTATATGTACAACCATAAATCAAATATATTGCTTCATAGTTCAAAAAATTTCTTCTGAAAGTAGGAATCTTTAAACTCACTTTTTTAAAATTAGGCGTCATCAATATTCATGTGTTTTTTTCCTCCCAGTGACATCCTCAAAGTATTGGTGATGCAACATTTCTTAGAAGATTGCCCCACTATTGCCTTTTGGATTTTCTTCCAAGCACTGACACACATAATGCAAGTTTTGATGATGATGCTTTCTTTATCTTTTCAGAAAATGTCAATGGAAGGTTTTCAGACAGAAAACAGTATCTGTATCTATTATCCTTCAATGATTTGTTGACTGAATTGTCAAGGTGCTGCAGTTGTTGGTCATGTCACAGGGAATAACAATCAAATTGACGCATGCCCAGGCAATGACAACTATTTTAGGACCACCCCCGGCCAACAGTGATGGTGAGATATTATCATGGCAAAATACATTCTGATTTTATAGATGTTGAGCTAAGAAAATAAAGTGCAACTTAGAATCAACAAGATACATTATCCTACGTAATAAACCTGACATATCATGGTAAAGCAGGTTAAGTCAGCAGCTCATCATCATCAGGGACCCAGGATCTTTTCATTTTTCTGCTCAACCTTTCTTAGCTTGGTAACCTGTGCTCAGCTCACTGCCTTTCTGGACCCAGTTGTCAGAGTTCCATGAGTCATAAGCAAACATGATATCCACAGGAATAAGAGGGAGTGTTTGCTCTCTGGTATCTCTTTTTACCAGCAAGCAAAAGAATACCCACGAAGAGTATGTTAGTCACACAGGAAGAAGAAAAAGAATGTATACCATTGTTCAGCTCTATCCCATTGATACTTCACAGGAATTGTTAATTAGGATGTCAACAGATCTTTTGGTTTGTCAAAAAAAATATCAGAAAGTTGGAGTTTTCTGTGGAATACCCTGATTTTTAAAACATGTCTCCAAACCATCAGTTTACATGCTATTCCATGCTGCTCATATATAGCTTGGAAACTAACAGAGCTTCAGCACCAAAGTATTCTACAATAACTTTGATCTAAGGAAAAACTGAATAACAACACCATCTGCAAATGTAGTCTGCATCTAGTTTGGACCTGAAGGAATGTGTAAGACCACCAAAGACATAGATGACCTCAAAATAGGAGACACAGGACCCATGCGAATGGACCTATGTCTTTAGCAGTAGGCAGAGTGCTTAGAAGGGGAACACCTAAGAGAGTACCTTGAGACTTCACTTAAAAGTTCCAACTTGGAAAGGAGTCTTTGATGACACCACGAGAGCCACTCGGAGTCATTCCAGCAGAGGACTCAGAACCCAACCTTAGTGCCTGCCTTACTTTAGCTTGCTGACCACTCTCCCATCCACCCCTTTCAACTCCATGGCATCTCTGCCAGCCTCTCCCTAAAAAGTGCCACTACCCTGACCTTGGCACTATCTCCCATCCTTGTAAACTTGTCACTTTTGGGCTCCAACATCCTTTCCTTTTTTTTTTCTTTCATCATATTATGGGGTAGAAATGTTTAGGTTATGAATACTTCAAGCATTTCCATCCCCCAGGCAGTGCACATCTCACTCATTATGTATGTGTATACCCATCCTCTCCTCCCCCCTCCCACCTGCACCACCAACACCCGTTAAATGTTTTCTCTTTATGTCCAATACCCTTTCACTTGGACCTTCAACTCGCTTCTGATTTGTTTGGGCCAACAGTTGTAAATTTTGCTTCCCATTTGCTTTAGCCATCCTATCACTGCGATTTTTTCTACAGTAACTTATGTTAGAGATCTATCCATTCCTCCAGATCTTAACCTGGCTTCACCTGTGGCTATAATCTCTGCCACATCTCAAGAAAACTTGACATGCTTCACAAATCAAAATAAGAAACTGTGGGTTTTTGTTCTAAACAGCCAAGGTTCTCGAAAGTGTGAGTGGTAGGAAGAGAAATACCATTTTTTAAGCATTATTTTCTTCCTTCCTTTGTTTTTTCTTCTCTCCCTCCCTTCTTGCCTCCATTTCTTCATCTCCTTCTTCTAAAGAATTTTATATTTTAAATATTGAAAGCATGTAAGAAATTCAGGATTACTCTAAAAAATAAGAATAAAAATATAAATCACCAATTTCCACTACCACAAAAACATTGCTATGAATATTTTAGATTCCTCCCTCCCAGGTTTTTTTTTTTTTTCTATTTCCAGTTTCATTTTTTTTGATTGATTTTTTTTTAAGTTTTGGTGGTTTTGTTTATTTTTGTGTGGTTGAAATCACCAAGTAGTTTTTTTTACATAAAATCATGTAGTTTTCTTTTATACATACCTATGAAAATATAGTTGAAAAATTATTCCATTAATATTGACCAGTGGAACAGATGTGAGAATCCTGATATAAAACCATCCTGATATAGCCATCTAATCTTTGACAAAGCAGACAAAAACATACGCTGGGGAAAAGAATCCCTTTTCAATAAATGGTTCTGGGAAAACTGGATAGCCACCTGTAGAAGGCTAAAACAGGACCCACACCTTTCACCTCTCACAAAAACCAACTCACGCTGGATAACACACTTAAACCTAAGGTATGAAAGAAACTATTAGAACTCTAGAGGAAAAAGTTGGAAACACTCTCCTAGACATCGGCCTGGGCAAAGAGTTTATGAAGAAGTCCCCAAAGGCAATCACAGAAGCAACAAAAATAAATAAATGGGACATGATCAAACTACAAAGCTTCTGCACAGCCAAAGAAATAGTCATGAAAGTAAACAGACAACCTACAGAATGGGAGAAAAATTTTGCATCCTATGCATCCGATAAGGGACTGATAACTAGAATATACTTAGAACTCATGAAAATTAGGAAGAAACAATCAAATAACCCCATTAAAAAGTGGGCAAAGGACTTGAACAGAAATTTTTCTAAAGAAGACAGAAGAATGGCCAACAAACATATGAAGAAATGCTCAACATCTCTAATCATCAGGGAAATGCAAATCAAAACCACAATGAGATATCACTTAACCCCAGTGAGAATGGCCTTTATCAAAAAATCTCCAAACAATAAATGCTGGCGTGGTTGAGGAACACTCCTACACTGCTGGTGGGACTGCAAACTAGTTCAACCTCTGTGGAAAGCAATATGGAGATACCTTAAAGCGATACAAGTGAATCTACCATTTGATCCAGCAATCCCATTGCTGGGCATCTACCCAAATGATCCAATGACACTCTACAAAAAAGACACCTGCACTCGAATGTTTATAGCAGCACAATTCATAATTGCAAGGCTGTGGAAACAGCCCAAGTGCCCATCAATCCAAGAATGGATTAATAAAATGTGGTATATGTATACCATGCAGTACTATTCAGCTCTAAGAAACAATGGTGATATAGCACATCTTATATTTTCCTGGTTAGAGCTGGAACCCATACTACTAAGTGAAGTATCCCAAGAATGGAAAAACAAGTACCAGATATATTCTCCAGCAAACTGGTATTAACTGAGTAGCACCTAAGTGGACACATAGGTACTACAGTAATAGGGTATTGGGCAGGTGGGAGGGGGGAGGGGGGCGGGTATATACATACATAATGAGTGAGATGTGCACCATCTAAGGGATGGTCATGATGGAGACTCAGACTTTTGGGGGGAGGGGGGAAATGGGCATTTATTGAAACCTTAAAATCTGTACCCCCATAATATACCGAAATAAAAAAAAATTATTCCATTAATAATTATATACAGCATTTAGTTAAAGCAAGAATATATATTCTGCCCTTCTAGACTGGAAGCATTTTTAGTCTCTTTTTTATACTCTCACAGTTCTTTTAACATAGTAGTCACTAAATAAGAATTTGATGAATGAGGGAATATTCCAAAATATAAAAACTCAGGTACAATTAAGTAAGTGCCATTGTTACTAACTTTGAATACTTTTTAGTGTTACTCAACCTAATTTAGAACTCTTACCTGCTCAAGTTTGAGTAGGAGACTCCATTTCACTCTAAATATAGCTTGTTTCTTCTTTAAATCAGAATATCACCTGGGAGCATTTACACAGCCCCAGCATTTCAGCTCCTTCACAAGTGTGAAAGCTAGAACATAGCACACAGTAGGTACCTAAAACACTTTTGTCTTAGCAGCTATCATTGTGACTATTACTCCTCTAGTCAAGAAATCTTGATTTTTAAGTGTCCTTAGGAATCTGTGCTCTTGTTGCTTAATTACCCAGGTTCTCCCTGACTCCCAGTGTGAAAAGGGAAGATGATTGCATCCATCTTTCCGCTGGATTGAATCCATGTTTCCACTGAAATGAAAAGATATTTAAAACTTGCAGTATTTTCTATCAATAGAATAAACTCCCGAAGCAGAAGGAAAAAAATTATCTCCTCAAAGAAAACACACAGAGACATATGCACATGCGCTGCACACACTCTCGCCTTACAAGAGGTTCTGCCTTATCTTGGGTGTTTACATTTCATTTCTCATGTTGAAATAGCCACTGAAAGTAAGTGCTTTCAAACAGTGCTTAGCATTGCAAAACCAAACGTTCTAGCAGCCAATTTTTAAAAATTCATCTAAATGGAAATTAATGAGATTTTAAAGAGAAATTAGAATCAATTTTACCTGGGCACCCTTGTTTAAATTTCCTCGAGAGTTCTTAGTTTCAGAAATAGACACCCATACAGATTTTTCACAAAGTTTTCTGTATTTACATATAGCTAAACTCCCTCACATGGACCATGGCGACCAGCAATTAAGAGGTTAGCGGGCCAGGCTGATAATGGTACCCCCTTTTGTCTTCTCCATGGACTGTTTGTTTGCTAGCCTGTTCAGCTACTGGGTATTCTCCCCATTAAAATATACTAACAGACAAAAACGACTTTGCTGTATCTGACAAAGTGGTAACATGCATTTATTTGATCTGCTAATCCCAAAGCTAACATTTGAATGTAGTGGGCTTTTAATCAAATCCTCAATATGCTGAGCAGCCAGCCCAGCGCATGAGTCATAAAGGACTGCCTTAGTCTGCAGCTACTGCCTCAATTTCACAGAACCATAGAATTTTAGAGCTGGCAGAGACCTTAGATTATTTGTAACTTGACCTCCTAGCCACTTTAAAACCATTGCTCGAAAACATTGTACGCTAGTACTTTTCTGTGGCTAAATCCTTATATTCTTTAAAAGAAATGTAAAAGAAATGAAACTTCTGTTCCACATGCTTTTATAGGGCACCTTGTTAAAGGGGTTTTTGGTGGAATCTTTTTATGCTCACAAACTTTGGGTGAATTTTTGAGACTTTTGACAAATACTGGTCAGGAAATTATTTTTTGCAAGTAAGGAAAATTGATGGAGAGAAAAAAGTAAAGGAAACTAACCTTTGGTGAGTTCCTAATAGGTGTGTCAGGTAAATTACAGCATCTCTTTTGACACTTGCCTTCGAAGATAGCTATTGTATCCATTTTGCAGATGAAGAAACTGAAACCCAAAGAGTTTAAAAGTGACTTGCTTGACATCTCAGAGTTGGTGAGTAACAAAGCTGGGATCTAAACCCAGGCCTATCAGGCTCCATATATGGCTATTGTTCTATTTATTTTATCAAACTGTTTCCCCTGAGTTTTATTCAAATATCTAACTAGAAAAGCATTTCATGAGCCTCCACATGGCTACATGGACATAGTAGACACTTCCCTTCAGGTGAATCTTCAAAGCAGAATGTTAAAAAATCTAAAGGAAAAGGGCTCATATTCTTTTATTTGGCCACTTGATAATTTTACAAATGTTTCTCGACTTAGGAGGGCGTTATGTCCTGATAAACCCACCACTGAGTTGAAAATGTTGTAAGTTGAAAAAGCATTTAATACACCTAACCTATCGGAAATGATAGCTTAGCCCAACTTACCTTAAACATGCTCAGACACTTACCTTAGCCAACAGTTGGGCAAAAGTATCTAATGCAAAGCCTATTGTACAATACAGTATTGAATATCTCATGGAATTTATCAAATACTATACTGAAAGTGAAAACCACAATGGACTTGCGGGTACTCAAAGTATGGTTTATATAGAATGTGTATCGCTTTTGTACCATCGTGTCAAAAAGTTGTGAAGTCAAAAGAGTTGGGGATCATCTGCAATTGTATGCACAATGATTCCTTCATATCAGAATGCAATGTTTACATTTTTAGAAGTTGGCTAATGATTCTATTCTAGATTCTACCTGAAAATTCTAAGAGTACAAAGAATAAGACCAACTAAAAGTTGATGCTGAGTATACACAGAGAGTTCTGATAACAAGGCCTTGGCATCAGGTAGGCAGGTTGATGGCTGGAGGGCTTTCAGACAACCTGAAACACAGAAATAGGTTTTTTTCCTGAGATTCAAAATGGCTCTGAAATTAGTACTATCAACACAGTGTGGCTGTCCCTCTGCTCCAAATCACACTGAGGACTAAAAAACAGGAAAAAGAGAGAGATCTCTCCCACTATACCCAAGCTGCCAGAAAGAAAAAGAAAAAACAAATGAGATTTCCCCTGAATCCAGAAACAAACAATAAATATCTTTGTATTCTCTTATAGTATTCTGCAAAACTGATGATTACTTGCAATTTTGTTTAGATTAGATTCTACTTCGTTTCTTTTTGACCCACTTCCACCTCAAATTGGCACAACGAAGATTACAAGGTTCTGTGTAGAAGCCTGCTTGAGAAATGTAAAGAGAAGTCAGTCCAGAGATTGAAAATACCTAGCTGGTCTCCAAAGTGATATTGCAAATCAAAAGTTAGTAGTAGGGTTGAGGTCACTGAGTATGAATTCTGTTCCAATAGTCATTGTCAACTAAGCACTTAATGTTTTTTTGAGCTTACTGCTTTACTAAGATAAAGTCATATCTCATGGCTCTTAACATCAGGGGCTCTGCAATACCCACAATATATAGTGCTCTACCAATGAAAATTGATGGTCACTACCAAGAAAGGGGCTTCTTGTTTAATTATCTTTTCATTGTTTTATTCATTGGCACTTCCCTTCTCTGCCCCATTCAACTCCTTGACCCTGTCTAGGCTGCCTTTTCCCTGGCTTAGCACCTGACTATGTGAACACCCCAAACTCTCCTCTCTGCCGCCAGGCCAGCTTTGGTTCTGCTCATTCCTGGGAAGATGATTGTCTTTCCCTTTCACCCATGAAAGGATGCAGTAAACACACAGCAGTTTCTGCTTCTGGGATTTAGTGCTCGCTGTCTCTGGAAGGGTTACTCTCTTTTACTCAGGAGGCAACTTACCTACTAAGGATTACTTTTCTTTCTTCCTTTTAATTGCTTTCTTGATACATCCAGCTACAGTCAGATCATGTTATTAAAGAATCTGGGATGTGTAGCTGGTAAGCAGCAATTTATTTTTCTCACCCTTTGGAAGTGTTTCCTGTTGATGGTTTTCACTCAGTGACCCAAATAAGAAGTGTTCCTGTTATGCAACGGTTGCAACAAGCTGAGGAGGTTCTGTGCTCCCACAGTAGCAGGCATGGTCTTAACCAGAAATATTCAGCTTATGTTTTTACTTAGCTACAAAAGATGAAGTAGAGAAGTTCCAGGAAAGGATGCCAGATAAGAAAAACCATTAATTAGGGGAAAAGAGAGAATTACTTTTTAAACATTCTTGTTAAACCATCTTGACTCTGAAATGGAAGCAGAACACTAGAATATGGAAATATTCAAATTTGTGGTTCTATTAGGGTGTATTTAGATTTTTCAAACAGTAGGCTATTTTTTGAAAGTTCTCGACTCTGCAAAATAGGAATGCATTTGGCCAACCACTTTTTCCTCCTTCAATTTAAACCCATTTGTATCCCAAAGGAAATTTAATCTGTACATTTATGATTCATTTGTGCTTAACTTGTCAAAATGTTAAGAGCTGTTTGAAATAAAAGAAGCCTTTGGATTCTGATGCTTATATAATTTTTTATCCTTAGAATCAGAAAGCTATGCTTTTGCAGAGAATCAACCATCTGATACCCTATAGGCTTATACATCATATATGAGAAATTGCAGGGCTTAAGTAGATCACAGGCCTTTTGCTGTTACTTTGAATTTCAAACTACAGGCATACATACACAAGTAAGCCTTAAACAATTTTTTTCCAAAGCAAATCATATAAATGGTGATTTATCTTACCAACCTATTCCTTTTCTTGCAGGGTCACTATGCAATGTTATTCAAATTGTGCACAATTCTGGGAAGCACCATTCTGAAAAACAGTACAATCATTCATAGTGTGTCTGTTTCTTGCATTCTTAACTCGTTTCTTTTTATCAACTCAAAATCCAGGCAAGAGCATTATCTAGAAATATCACCAAGCTGCAATATCTTTATTGACTGGAGAAAAAATTCTATCTTGACTAGCCAAATTTGCAAGAATTTGCAAAGGCTTCATATATATTATTCTAAGATAGTTAGTGCCTGGTAATTTTATAATCAGGCTTTGGGTTTACTCTACATTTAGTTAATTACTAGATGTGTATCTTTGGAGAAGTTCCTTTTCCTCTTGAAAATTTTGTATCTTCAGATGAAAAATCAGGATAACTTTTGTCTACTTTGGAGGTGTCACTTGTGTGGAGCTAGCCAATGTACCAAGGAAGGGTCACTGTAAGTGGTTAGTGTGGGTGGCCCTCAGAGTAAGTTGTAGGACAGGAGGAGGGAGAGGTGCTTGGAACTGTCAGGCAGGAGAGAGAACGTGAGACGGTTTGTGGAGATGGGCAACTGGTGTAGCAAAATTGGTTGGGCTTACGGGTGGTGGAATAGAGACTGGTGGCAGGTCAGTATGAGATCAAGAACAATGTCAGATGCCAGAGTGTGGTGCTATTGGATGAGATGGAGAGAAACACAGGAAGGGGTCTTTGACTTCTAAGAGCAACAGCCTAATGGGGTTGTCTGGATATGTGCACAGATGACCATCCCAAAGGTTGAGACAGCAGAGGCTACAACATCTCTAGGGAAGCAGCCGTTACTCCCGGGTGATCAGAAGAGGCCTCCGAGAAGTGGAGCATCAAGCTGGGAGGTGGCCATCGCGATGAAAGGCGACACAGGCATTTGGAGAACAGACAGCCTCACCTGTACCACTTGTGGTTATGTGGCCTTGGCAAGTTTTTAGCTTTCTCTGAATCTCATTTTTCTCCTTAGTAACTGGAGAATACTATTTCAACCAACATCCAAGGTTAGTATCAAGATGAAATAAAATCACTTAGGTATGGCCTGAGAGGAGCCCAGAGGAGGGGATGCACCGGCCCCTGTCCCTGACCTGGCGTACAGAGGGGAGGGAAGGCAGCAGGGTCCCCGCCCCCAGGAGCCCAGGCAGGAGCTCTGGGCTCAGACAGCCTCCAGGTGGTTCCTGCACTCCAGGGCAGCTCAGGAGGAGCAAAATGACCAAGAGCAACAGAAAGAGACCTTGTGAATGAGAACAAGGGACAACCCAACATCTACTTGGGTGGAGGATCAACAATTTTCTTTCTTTCAAGAATTTTTCTTTCCCATTTCACTTCTAAGTTCTGAGGGGATTTATGTAATTCTGACGACCAGATGCCAAACGCTCTATACTCCAGCAGCCTCATGCTTGGTGATACATCAGCAACACCCCCAAGACCTTAGCTAGACATCACTCAAGGAAAATGGGGGCAGAAACCCTGCACTAGCTGAGAGTAAGTTCTTGGCACAAAGCAGGGGCTCAAAATAGGAATCCAGCTATTTTAGAATATGTGGAAGGTTATATTGCGTGGACACTGGTGTTTATGAATATAAATTATGCAAACGAATTATGCAAAGCACTCATAGGCATTTGACATATACTGGCTTTCTTCTTTCCCCTTTCCTCAACATTTCCAGGAACGGATATGATTCTGAATGGAATCTATGAAAGCAGAAAACTATCAGGTACAGACCTGCCTTTACAGCTGTAAAAATAATTCAAAGCACATGTTTCTCCTGACAGCAGGAAAGTCATTTTACTGCCACATAGAAAGGACCTCACATTTAAAAAAAATCATTTTTATAAACCTCCATCTATGGCTTCTCATGCCAGAGAAGTTGACACAATTGTGACTCATCTGTGACCAATTTTTGGAAGCTGTGAAAATGGAACCAAGTGTCCCACTTATCTACAAGTGGAGTGTGTACACTCCAGGGAGGTGGAAATGTCTCTTTCACTGGTGACATTTAAGAAAACGGCAGGGACAGCTATCACTCAGTGTGGGTTGGCTACACAGCTGCCCGAAGGCAGTGTCACTGTTGCTGAGAGCAGGGACAGGGACGGCTCCCAGGGCTCAAGGAAATAGGTCAGGATTGACAGCAGCAGCTGGCTCGCTCTGCCTCCCACGCCCACCCTCACCCCGGTGCTGTTCTGGGTTCCCTGCCTGCGCTCCTGCTTCCCCTTGCACACCAGTGCCGGCTCCTGTCCCTCGGCCTCCCTCCATGCCTCTGTCAAGGTGACAGCAACACAAATCCCAAATGCCTCCCCAGACAGAGAAACTGGGAGAACTTTCCAAGCCGATAGATAGTGGAAACATTAAAAGCCTTACTGCTGATTTCCCCGAATTTAATTTTTTTTTAAACCTAAATGCTGAAACTTTGTGTTAGACTATGGGCAATCTTGGAATCTGCAGTAGCTCCTTGAGCTTGAGCAAAACCGGACTAAGAAGCAGAGTCAGGAAGGCAGAGGTCAGTAAAGACCCGAAGGACAGGTGTGAAGCCAGCTGAGGGGTATGGGAGGGGGCAGAAACAAAGGCCATTGCCTGAGGAAGGTTGGAGCTCCGTGTTTCTGCAGTCTGCCGGCCGCCCAGCTTTCACTGGGCCTTCCTCCGGCACAGTCACTGCTGCTCTGGGGCCTTCCTGAAGGCCCACGTGATTCTCGACACTGACATTGACATTGTCTTTATTCTCATCACAGGCTGTTGATTCTCAAAGTTGGTTCCTCCAGCAGGATCCCTCAGACTATGCTGCCTCCAACCTGCTGTCCCCCGTGACGCAGAATGAACAGAGGCCACCAGGAGAGCACTCACACCCCCACGCCCACACACAACGACACAGGCGTCCCTGCTTGTTCGTCAGTCGTCCCAATTTCGCCCACAGTTCTAATTTAGCGCGTCAGACACTGGTTGGGCTTTGCTGTTCTCTCGTACACCAAGAAGCCATGGCCTTTGAGAGGATTATTTTTCCCTCATTGCACCGAAGAATATTTCTCTTGTTTATCAGTTCACAGCTGTGTTCCAGATGGTGTTTCTAGAGGGTAAAACAAAACAAAACAGAATCCATTCTTCACCTTGAAGCCAGAGTGTTTTTTTGCTTTTTTTTTTTTTTCAATGCAAACCTGATTATGTAACTCCCTCTCAGCAGCAAGCCAGTGTCCTTAGAATAAAGTACAAAGTGCTTCCGACCCACGAGTCTCCTCTCAGCAGCTGGGCTCAGCCAACCAGGGGTACCCAGGTCAGGGTCTCAAGCCGGCCCTGCCCTCTCCCAGTCCAGCCCAGGGCCTGGACACCCGCAGTCCCCTCCACCTGCTAATGCAGCTCCTCCCTTGCCAAAACAACAAACAAACAAATAAAAAAGCCATCAGGTCTCAGCTTCAACATCAACTTCTTGAAGAAATCTTTATTGACTCTCAAAAAGACTAAATCCCTTATTGTAGCTCCCCAGGCCCCCCACGCAACCTGGATCCCCTCGCCCCTGTAATCTCTCATTCAATACCAGCTTTTCCTCACTAGACTTTAACCTTCAGGGGGTAGGGATGGGGGTAGACGCAGGTTCGGTGGTGCCTGCAACTTCCACAGTGGGGGGTGGAGGGTGGTGTTGGGAAGGGGGCATGATTCTTTAAGAAAAACGATACAAAAATATCTCACTTTGAATACTTTACAAAAAAGCATGTGATATGGGAGCACATTCTTAAGGCATCTCCCAGGGCCTCGGAAAGGGCTGTGCCTTTCTCCAGCTTCCTGGTGGCTCTGCCTCTGGGTGGGAACTGTATTTGTCTTGTTCACTGCTGTACCCCAGGCACCTGACACATAATTCTATTTATGTGACTATCGTTCATTAATTTTCTAATCGCTGAATGAGGCAAAGTAGGAAATATAAAACCCACGTTTTTTTGAATATTGAACTAGTATATGTTTACCAGTGGGACCACAGTCACACGTGGCTTAGTGATGGGGAAATGTTCTGAGACGTGCGAGGTGAGGGGATTTCACTGGGTGAGCCTCACAGAGTGCGCTTACACAAGCCTTGGTGGTGTAGTCTACCGCACACCCAGGCTGTAAGGTTTGGCCTCTTGCTCCTGGGCTACAAACCCGTATAGCACCTTACTGTACTGAATCCTGTAGGCAGCTGTAACACAATGGTAAGCACTTGTGTACCCAAATATAAATAAACATAGAAAAAGTTCGGTAAAAATATGGTATAAAAGATTTAAAAATGGAACACCTGTATAGGGCACTTACCATGAATGGAGCTTACAGGACTGGAAGTTGCTCTGGGTAAGTCAGTGAGTGAGCGGTGAGTGAATGTGAAGGCCTAGGACATTACTGTACACTACTGTGGACTTTATAAACACCGTACGCTTAGGCTACACTAAATTTATAAGAAAAAAATTTCTGTCTTCAATAATAGATTAACCTAGCCTACTGAAGCTTTTTACTTTATAAATTTTTAAATTTTTTAATTGTTTTCTCTTTTGTAATAGCACTTAGCTTAAAACACAAACACATTGTACAGCTGCACAGAAATATTTTCTTTCTTTATATTTGTGTTCTATAAGCTTTTTTCTATTTTTAAAATCTTTTGGTTTTTTGTCTTACTTTTAAAACATTTTACTTTAAAAACTGATACAGAAACACACACACTAGCCTAGGCCTACACATGGTCATCATTATCATGTCACTAGGTGACAAGAAATTTTCAGCTCTGTTATAATCTTACGGGACCACCATGGTGGTCCATCATTGACCAACACATCATTATGAGGTACGTGACTGGGGTGACTATGTGTGATCCCATTCAGAATGAAAGAAACACATTGGGTCTCTGTGGGTTAGGGAGACCTCGTACAAAAAGAAAATACCTTATCCATTATCCCCAGGGAGATAAGGTTCCTGAATAGGACTGTCAGACAGGAGTGCTGTGGCTGCACCACTTTCAGGCTGATTTTCATCTTTAGTCCTGACTCCTAGTAAAGAAATCTGATATTCTCTAATCATGAGGTTCCTAATTAGGGATCCGTGATGAACACTGCTTGTTAAATTGTGAATATTTCTTTCTACATTCATGTATCCGGGGAAGGGCCCTGACTTTCATCAAATTCTGAAGACAATATGAGAACCCGCAGAACATGAACAATTACTGCACATCAGTCCAGGAGGCCTGCAGGGAATCAGTAGAGATGTTGTAACAGCTCATATTAGACCATAGCTTGGCCCTGCTTGTTAATAGATGAGGGTCTTCACAATTCACACAACTTCTTGTGAGTCTACTCACAGGTACGATGGGGCTATTAGTGCTCACAAAGGGGTGTCTTAGCCCTTTTGTGCTGCTATAATAGAATACTACTGACTGGGAAATTTATAATGAATAGAAATTTATTTCTCACAGTTCTGAAGGCTGGGAAGTCCAAGATGGCAAGGACCTTCTTGCTGTGTCATCCATGTAGAAGGGCAAAGAGAGAGGGAGAGAGAGAGCAAGAGGGGGCCAAACTCTTCCTTTTATAATGAACCATTGTTGTGGTAACAGCATTAATCTGTTCATGAGGGTGGTGCCTCCATGACCCAAATGCCTCCCATTAAACTCCACCTTCTAATGATGCTACATTGGGAATCAAGCTTTCAACATATAAACTTTGGGGGAAACATCCAAACCATAGCACCAAGTAACTGTAAAAGTACACATATATACATATATGTGCTTGTATATACAAATATACATACATATATTACCTAGCCCAGTTTCTGTCTCAGTGCACACTCCATAGTGTCTGTTCTCTTTTCTTCTAAACAAATACTTCCTCCTTGCTCTACTATAATCTCTGTATGGGAGATTACATTATTTAAAAATAATGTATTCATTTACCCTTCCATTCATTTTAAATGAGTTTACTTTGTACCAGACACTGTACTAGGCACCGGGCAGGAGATAGGGTGGGACTCAAAGATCACTAAAACAATTTAAAGAGATAGATACAAATCAAATAAACTGGAAAAATATCACAATTAGTTGTGGAAACCTCCCACCTCATGATGATGATGTCTTTTTCCCTTGGAAGGAAGCCTGTTTGGCTGTCGACATTATTCCAAAATATCTGGATAAAAATGGAAAAAGGCAGTCAGTCATGTGGCTTTTTATTCAAAGGATATCAATCATGCAAATGTTTCCAAATATTCCTGTGCCTAATGTTATCTAGGCAACCATTCTGGAGGATTAAAATTGTCACTCTCAATGGGATGTCCTCACTTCGGGCACACATAGGTTTGATGGTTTCATATTACGAACCAACAAATATCCTGTCTCTGACATAAGCCAAATGCAACTGACTCTTATAAAGCAAACATACAGACAAAAAATGGTAATGAGAAATTATAAAAATAAGTGTGTCTTAAAATCAATGTAAGATTATTCAAGATTAGTCTCTTACTTACTCTCTCCCAATCACTTGCTCTTTCTCTCTGTCACACACACACACACACACACACACACACACACACACACACACACGTTAACCTACCTGCTTCCAGACGCTGATCCCTCCATCGTCCCCAGCCCAGGAGGCCTCCTCAAGTGCACAGTGCTGCCCTGTGCCACACACTCACTCGCACCCAAGGTTGCCAGATAAAATACAGAATGCCCAGTTAAATTTGGATTTCAGATAAACAACATATAATTTTTAGTATAAATATACCCAGATATTGCATAGGACATACTTATACTAAAATTATTCTTTGTTAATCAGAAAGTTGAATTTAACTGGACATCCCGTATTTTTATTTACTGGATCTGGTAGCCTCACCTCTATCCATTCCTAGAATTATGGCCTGTGACCAAGTTGCCACCACTCTCACTCTTCTGAGCCTCAGTGCCATCTCTGTGCACATCCCAGTTCCCAGGATGGCACATCTTCTCTGGACCCTACTCCAAATCCCTGCCCTGCCACACCCTGCCTTTGCGATAGCACTCCCTAGAATTACCCACCACTGCTCTCCGAAGGGCTGTTGTTACTCCTAGTTGATCCTTCTCAGGCAGCCAGATCCCTCCATCACTGGTCTTCTGTCCACCAGTGACCTCTGATGTCACTGGAGCCCCTCCCTCCCTGGGACCCCGCCTATCTCATGGGGCTGTGACAGTACCTTGCCCCTCTCTGTGTCTGCCCTGATTTGCTATATATAAATTTACAGACCTCCCTGAAGAATCCTCAATGGGGCAGTCCACCTATATTCACATTAGCCAAGATACAGATTGGTTGCATTCATAAGCTAAAATGAATGTCAGAAAGCCAAATGATACAATCAAGAAGAGACCACTTGTTTCTTAAGCAGACATGTAACTAAATGGGAAAATATCTAATAAGCCAATCAACAAATTAATAGTTGCACAAAACATAATTTATCTCAAAGCCTGCAATTCAACCACATAAGCACTCATAATATCAAAGCTTTTTTATTTCCTCTAAATTTATCAAGGTCTGCTTTAATTGCCATAAACACCTAAAGACATGAGCAAATTAACACATAAAATTGCAGAATATTAGCTGATATATATTCATGAATGCATGTTGTTGTGATCAGGCAAATAATGACCCAAGACATTGATAAATTTGGTAGTGGCAAAAGAAAAACACAGCACACTGTTAGAATTGTCTGTGGATCACGGAATGGAATCTTTGATTAGCCCAGCTCTAAGAGACCATTCATAACAATTATTGTATTTCTGTAATTCTTCCAGGAGAGATATCAGCATATGTTTAATCAGTAAGCTTCATAAAAATACTGTCCCACAAACACTTGAATGCCAGGTCAGTGCTAAAGAATGCTGGCTTCTTGGAAGACTAATCCAGCCCTGTTTCTCAGAATCCATCTCACATTTCTTACTGGCATTCCTGCTCCTCTATCTACTGCCACTCAGAAAGGGCTGACAGTTTTCCAAGCATTTGTGCAAATCTCAAGTTACAATTGTTTTGGGGTCTTCAAAATGAATGTCTTTTATTTAGATGGAAATATACATCATGTGTTGACTCACCCAGAGTTGCTGCAGTGTGGTTGTTTTATACTCCCTGGCCTGCTAACCTCGCTTGTTAGAACCCATTCATACATAGCTCCTATTCATTAAAATCTTTACTCTCACGCAAGCAGGCACTACCCCTGTGAGCTGCAAACTGCGTTTAATCTGAACATAGCAGGATGGTCCTGACAAAAGTATTTGGGTAAATGGTCTAAGGCAGACAGTGGAGCTGAGAGGCAAAGGTATGGATTGTGACAAGCCCTGCAAAAGGTATACTTATATGCAGTACACATATAAGAATGCTAATTCATTTCAGCTGATCCCACCGTAAACCTCAGAATCCTTCTCAACACAATATTCTAGTCAGCCATTCCTAGTC